GCTATTTATTCCTCCAACCGCCATACTTATTTACTCTTCAGAGTATTTTTTTTTGAGTTTTTTTTTATAATGTCTTGGCATTTTGAATTGATTTTGATTTTGTTAACTGATTTAAGTTCATTTTGATTTGTACAGGAAATTGTTATAAATAAGTTATAGTAAATGATTGGAAGAAAATTGAATTAGCATAAAAGAAAAACAACATTCCAATACCACGATAGATATAACTAGTAAATAGCGCCAACATGGCCATAACGAACTAAATAAAAATTATGTGGCGACTATTTGAACAATAGTGTTTTTTTGTTATTGAACGAAATTTTTGTATAAATAGAGTTTTGTTGTTGTTGTTTTTCAAAAACAAAAATATAAAAATATAAGTGATATAGTTAATGTAAAAAAACGGTTAAGATCTTAAAAATATAAATTATAATACATATTCGGTATTATTTGTGATCGCCATCGGATCAGTAAAGAATAAGAAATAGTAACGATAAAAAAAGGTAATTATTGCGAATAATAGCTAAGTGTGAAAACTATTAGTGTTCAGTTTTACCCGAATATATGACTTTTCCGTAATTCTGTTATAACTTTTTTCAGGAAATTACAATTTCATTTCTGAAAAAAAATTCTTAATCAGCGTAACTTTTACTACAAATATGTATTTTTACTTTAAGGTGGCTCTATGGTTAAAATAATAACTTCTGGATTTTAATGATAAACGTTTCAAATAACTTTAAAAGAAAAAAAAATTTTTTTTTAACATCACACTTTTTTTATTAGTTTTATTATTAGTTATAAAATTTTAATTTAAATAATTTATTTTAAATAATTTTAATTTAAATAATTTTCATTAAAATTATAAAAAACTTTTTGTTTTGCTGAGTCAGCAAAAAATAAGTAAAGTATATACACACTTTAAAAACTTTATAATTTCTAAAATATAAATCTAATGAACTTAAAAATTTCAGAATATCTTTATGATTTCAACACAAAGGGACTGTAGCAGAACTTTTGTATAAAAATTTGTATATTAAAAATGGCGGATAAAAGCAATGAAGCAAAATAAAAGTCAATTTTTAACATAAGATAATTATTCCAAACTTGAAATAATATCATCAGTTTCGTGTAATTTTACACAAAACTGATGATATTATTTCAAGTAACTATTTAAAGCTACAGTCCCTCAAGTAACTGTTAAGGAGCACTCCCTGAAAATTTCAAGTTGATTGCTTTAATACTTTTTAAATAAACCCATTTTAGGTTTTGTGCAATATCGAAAAGAACAATTCTATAAAAAACGCATTTAAAAAACATACAATAATATTTTTTAATATTTTTCTGGACAGTAAGATTTTCCACCTTCAATATCTTTCTCTTTATTAATATGTCCCTTTTTGACACCTCTTAGAAATTTTCTGTCCTTTTTAAAAGCTTCAGAAGATTTTCTTTATAAATGACGTTGACGATGGAAAACAAGAAATAACCGTTGCAAAGGGCGTTGCTATAGAAGCTGAAAAGACTGTACCTTAAAAAAAATAGAAATTACTCATAATATTGGATTTGAATGTATATAAAAATATATATTTTCTGAATCTATATTAAATTTCGAATTAGAAAACATAATATATATATTTTTGATTTTTTATTGTTTTTTAACCATAGAGCTACCTTAATGCTATTTCATTTTATTTCCGAGGTTTTTACTTCGCTATTATAATAAAATTTTAAAAAATAAATACTCATGTTCAAATTTTCGAGTTTGGTACGAAAATTATTAATTGCATTTGTTTTCTTTTAATTTCATTAGACAGAGCACAAAATTATCTATAATTTATGACTAAAATAATTTTTAAATATTTTCGTTTAAAAACGAAATATTAAAAAATATCATTAGTGTTCAGTATTTCCCGCTGTTCAGTTTTACCCCGTTTTACTCTTTATTTAGTGATTTTTAATCAAGAAATTAAGAGACTTTTTTAACTTTTTACTGTAAGAGCAAAAATAATTTTTTAATCAACTTTTGTTGCTTTTACTGTTTGTTTGTTGTTGTTGTTGTTGTTTTTTTTTTAAAAAAAACCCGTTCTGATTAAGGAATCAAAGTGTTCCAATTTAGGGAGCCAAATGCTTTGATTGGAACAAAATGGTATCTTTGCAAAAGCAAATTTTTTTCCAATAACAATTCAATCAATTAAATCAAGCTATGGTTAAAAGTATAGTGGGGTTGTCTGTTTATATCAATCAAATTATTAATGTTTACGTAGTAAAGCCATATTTGGTTAATAAATATTTATTCCTAAAGTGTTCCAAATAAGGCAACTAATCCCTACCACAGAGCATTATCTGCGGTGCAATTGAGCACGAGCTAGCATGGCTAACTATTCATAGGCTTACGGAACAAGCCTGCTTAATTCAACTTTAACTAGATCCTATTTTTTTCCTAAAAAATAATTTATAATTAATTATAACAATTGAATTTAAGACTTAAGATTTTTTTTCATTTTTTTTTTTTTTAGTTACATTTCAATTCAACAACTAGATTTCCCTAATGTTTTTTAATTTTTTTTTCTATTGTAGAAATATTTCTTTTTTAGCCATACGTCGCTGTTGTACTGGAGTATCTGCAAGTATTTGTGTTTCTAGGGAAAATTCCCCCCGCAAAAATCCCCCCGCAAAAAAAAAAAAAAAAAAAAAAATATTGCTTTGAAATTGATAGATTGCCTGCCCAAACCAAAACCCTCAGTCAATGTAGCGGCACTCCTTACATGTTCTAACTAATTGTCAATCGGTGTTTGTACACTCCTTGCATGTTCTATCTATTTGTCAGTGAATGTATGTATACATTTGTATGATTTGCATTTGAAACTAAAAAATTCATTTTTGCTTTAGTCTACAAGCAAAGTCCAACGACGAAAATTACGAGCGAATAACTTAAAGCAGGTGGCTTATCAGAATTTTGAAAATTTTGAATGATTTGGAGCAACTGATGCCATTGTTCTAAACTTTCTACAAATTTGATTGGTTATAAAAAAAATTCCCTATCTTTTTTAAAACATTTTTTCAAGTTTTTGCGGTTTGTTGCAATTGATGCAATTGTTATTTTATTAAATAGTAATTGGTTTTAACTGTTTTTTAACCAACCATTAATGATTTAGAGTACAATTGCATCACTTGCTACAAAGAAAAGATCGGAAAAATATTTGAAAAAGAGCAAATATAATTGGTTAATGTGTAAATTTTTTTTTTAACCAATCACATTTGATTCTCGAATCTCGAATTTGTCATTGTTTGAATAATTATCTATTCATTATTCCATATTTATAGAAGAAAACTTTTTCTTTGAATTTAAGAACAAAAACTTAGTTTTAAATTATAAAGCAGTTGCTAAATATATAATAGATAATTATAAAAATAGATATATAAATCCAAAAAGACACAAATATATATATATTTTTTTTTGGATAATTTTTTTATACAAAGGAACCCAATTGTTTGTAGAAATTTTAACGCCATTGTCACGGTTGAGAAGTATAGGAGCGTGTTCTATTTCCTTGTATGTTGAGGCGTAGTTAATTTCAAGTGATTCTCTAACTTTTCTTCCATCTTACTCTGATTTTACTGCTAGAGTTTTCGGATGTGACCAATCAAACATACTATTACATTCTCTACCATGTTCGGTTGCACCAGATTCATCCCATTTACCTTTTATATAGGTTTTTTGATATTCAAAGCATCTCGTTAAAATTTTATTTTGTGTTTCGCCAATGTATATACTTCAACAAGAGCATGTGAGTTTGTAGACACCGGGATTGATATTGGGAATTAGCTATGACTTGTAGTTGCATAAGTTGCATAAAATGTTTAGCTATGACTTGTAGTTGCATAAGTTGAATTAACGTTTAATGTAGGTTTTATTTGTATATATTTGTGATAGCCGACTTTCGATGGATTTTGAAGTTATAGTATGAGTTATTAGTGTTGGTTACAGTTATATTCAAGAAGCTTAATTTTTTTTTATTGTTTTCTTTTTCTGAATTGTACTTTATTACTGGATCTTGTTTATTTAATAACTCCAGAAACTTATCATTATTTTGTATTGAGTCGAATCTTGCATGACTGTCATCTACATACCTTCTGTAAGTCTTTCGCAAAAAATGACCAAACTTAGCAATTATAAGAGCTTTTGTTTGCAAATGCTGCAAAAACTCTATGCTCTGTTAATTGGAATGGAGGGATATAACGCCACCACATCAAAAGAGACTTGAATTTCACTAAGATCAATTAGGCAATATATATAAAAAACAGTGAACGCTTCATCAATCAATGCTTTCAAAGTCAGCATAACAAAGTAACTCTTGGAGACACAATTTCTGCTTTGTCTGTAGCGTCTGTGCTTTTATTTTCATCAGCATAGAGGAGCCTTAAGTAGCACCTCTTCATCAAATTATAAATAAATTTATGGTATTCGTTTTTATTTTGTTTACTAAACTTAAGAAAGAAAAAAAACGTATGCATATATATAATAAATAATAAATAATACATATAATAATAATATATATATAGTCCCTATTAGAGCGCAACTCGGAATTAGAAACTTTTAAATTTTATAACTGGGAATTGGACTCTTCGAATTTTGTAAAAAACCTAATTCCGAATTTTTTAATAAACCTAATTCCCAATTTTGTAAAAAACTTAATTCCGATTTTTAGGAAAATAAGTAGGAATTAGCAAATGTGAATTAAGTAAGAATTACTCAAATCAATACATTAATTACTCAAATCAATACAGGAATTAAAAATATTTTTTTAAATAAATGTGCTGTCACCGTATAGGGATTACTTCCAGTCACTTATCTCGGAATTAGTCTGCTGTAACTGCCCAGGGGGCACAAGAACGCTTTAAAACGTTTTAAATTTTTCTATGCAGATAAGTTATAGAAAAGTTTAGGTGTAGCAGCCTAAATCTGCATAGAGATTTTTAAAGAAATAATTGTCTAAAGGTTTAATAATTTTATATTTATTTTTAATGAAAAAGTATACAAAAACGATATAAAATATTTTATTTTTTAAGGAGCTCTCTTGATCGCCTATCAACGCATTAACGAACTGACACCGAATCGAATTTTGTTACATGTGACAGCATTGTTTCTAAAAAAGAAATCCAATATAAATATTTTGAGCATTTTTATTAGCACATACAAAGAATGCTACATACGCACACAATTATAGTAAGGGTAAATTAGTGTGATGTATAAACATGTTTAGTTTGTATAACAATGAAATAAAACGTAATTATCATTTGATTATTGAATTAATTAAGATAACAAACATGTCAACATTTAAACATTGCCTATATTATTTATCTCCTAATATGATGTAAATAACAAACATGTCAAAATTTAAAATTTAAAAATTACCTACTTGCTTTGTACAACAATGTTTTTAAAATAATCTTTTGTCATATCTCCCTGCTTTATTAAACAATGATTGAATATAGACATAGCTTTATCAAAAACTTTATTAATCGAAGCTGAAATTGAACTATCACCTTTTCGATAAAGTTGACAGCCCTACAAAATATTTCCTATATATATTAATGTAAAGAATAAACGAAACCAACAAATGAAACTTTTCTTTATTATTAATCTTTCATCTAACTCCCTTATATTATTGCATTTATTTATATAAAACAAATCTTCGGGCTAAGTCCTTTTTCTTAGCTTTTCCACTGCAGGCAAAAAGTTTTGATTTTGAACTTTATGATAACTAATTTCATATATATAACATATTAAAAACCTATTTTAGATAAATTTGACCAAGTTTACGTACACAAATTAAATTTTATCAAAAAGTTCAACATTTATTAAAAACACCAACATGATCTTAAGATGCACACCAAACATATGCCTATAAAAATTTCACAATGTTATTGTTGCTTCACAATTGATTGTCATTGAATATACTAAATGAGTTAGAAACTGACAATGTTTATAGTATATAAAAATAATTGGAATCTATTCAAGCAAAAAAATTTAAGTCATAAATTCCTCGGTGTTATTGAATCAAAGTGACTTACTCGCTAGCTTTAATTGATTATTTAATTGAGTTTCAAATTTACTAAATTAAAGTTATATTAAACAGTGAGCCAACTAAAACCAAATATCGTGAAAGCAGAACTTTAAAAATATATGTTATAAATCATAAATAGAAATTTTTAAAGTCTAAAAAAAAAGAAAAAAGTTTTAAGTATAAAAAAATAATACTTTAAAATTCAAGATAACATTACCAAAAATGATTTTATTCATTTTAAAGATCAGAACATTTATAAACATAATATCAAAAGTATATACAAACTTAAAATTCGCTTGTGTAACTTTCTTCTCAGCAAATCAGCACCTTAACAAGAAAAGCTAAATAAACACAACCAACAAATCTCAAATTAAACAAAGCCATATAAAGTATTTACAACAAAAAAAGCAAAAGCTAAATAAAAGCTAAATATCAAAACCCATGGCTTGTGTAATGAAATAAAAACTAAATGTAAATACTTAAGTTCATTTATAGATGGCAGTTTGTAAATGTATATACATACACAAACTGCAATTTATAATAAAATAAAACAAAAACACAAATTCACTCATAAAAAATTCAAAATATATTTAAGTTTACTTTGGACTTCTCTATTTTCTAAATTATTGTCAACTAACAAATATAAAAATATTTACATACATAAAATAAAAATTATTTTATTATATTCTTTTTATAATATAAGATTATAATGCTGTAATATAAGAAAATGAAAAAAAAAAGCAAAACTTCAAAAACTTATATGCATTTTAAACACGAATTTCGAAAGAAAACAGAGAAATAAATATAACGATTCTGTAACAAAATTAAAAAAATAACTTACTCTCTAAGAATTCAATAAAAAAACTTTAAAGCTAAACAAATATAAAAAGATGACACTGTCAGTGACACAAAGGCAAGAAAACTACAAACCTTCATTCATTAACTATTCAGCATCTTTAACTAAATTATTCATCTCCTAATATGAATTAATAAATACAATAGATAGAGAGATAACTTTAGATATAAATATAACTAGAGATAAATATAATTATAATCATCTATATTTTAAAAATTATAAAATCTATAAAAAAACGAAGTTTTAAAATAATAAAATTATATACGAATATTATATATATATATATATATATATATATATATATATATATATATATATATATATATAAGAATTGAAGATATAAGTTAAAATTAAAAAAAGTAGTTTACCATAATAATATAATATTACCATTACTTAAAACATTAAGATACTTATCTGTTATGTTAAACATTTAGAGCTTAAATTGATAGCGTAAATTTATAGCATGAAAGGTCTTTAAGCAAGCGCTCGATTTAAGAAAAGTCTAGAAACCACTTAAAAATGAGAAAAGAACTAGTAACTAGCTATCGAAGTGCATTCAAAGGTAAACGTTAAATAAAATTATTTTAGTTAATTATATTTAGAAGTAATGGGCGGTCACAAAAAACCTGCTTATATTACTACTCCAAGTACTCCAAGTAACGCGCCATATGAAACAATTAATTTTTCGGGACTTTACGATCTCCAACAAATACCCGAACAATGTTGTTCTCGTCAACAGTTCTATTGGCAAGCCTAAAGTCTGCATTGTTTCCGACATGCGATATGATGGAGTTGAAGACAAATTTAAAGTTTCAATTTCTCCTTTCAAAAAACAAGGAGATTTCTTTGAAGGATATCCGTGCAATTCATCAGATTTCAATATTTTTCTCGTTTCTGGAGATTTAAATCATGACAGAAAACGCGAAGTTAATGCAGACTGCATAGAAAATCAGTTCGTCTGCCTCTTATATGAGAAAGAAGTTACTGACATTGATATCAATGCAAAAGAACAAATTCAATTTAACACAAAAAATGCACAGTGGGTATGCACTCCTTTGTTCCATGTTATAAATAGTCAGTAAATCTATTTTTCCATGTATTTAATATAATAAAGATAATAATAAGGTAAAAACATTTGTGTATTAAATTAAAAATGCGGAAACGAAATTCTTACTTCCGAGACTTCATATAAATAGAGAAGAAAACAAAAAGTTCTAGAGTAAAGGTTCTAAATTTAGACTATGCAGGTCCGTAGCCAGAACTTTTTGAAGGTAGGGGAAAGTCTTTTTTAAAAAGGCGCCAAAAATAAAATTAAAATAAAGGTGCCCAACAGCAATATTTTTTTAGCGCCTAATAATCATTTATTTTCGATAAGATTCAAAAATTCAATTAAATTACATCATTATTTTTTTAAAGATGCGCTCTTTTTATGGTGTGTACTAAAATGTTTTTTGAATATATGCTAAAATAATTTTTTACTTCGTTGAAATATTATATTTAAATCTTTGAGGCGCTAAATAGGACAAGGCGCGAGGGAGCATGTGCTCCCCCTTTCACCCCCTCCTCTACCTGCTATATATGTTCCAATAATTATTTCAATAGTTGTTTGTACTATTCTACACTTGATTTAGATTAATATATTACAAAAAGAATTTTATTACACAAGATTCCTACTCTTACGTTATTGGCTGTAAAACAAAACTTACATAGACTTACATGACTTAGAAGTCTGCAACAATTAGTTTAAATACCATTCAAGCTGATAATATAATAAACTGAGAGAAAAAAACTTCAAAATAGAAAATATGTTCAAGAACTAAAATGTTTGTCTTTCTCCATGGTGTTCAGACCTCTTCTTCGACTTCTTCTTCTGTTTAAAAAAAATGTCAACAGCTCTAATTTTTTTCTTAGTGCATTGATTTAAAATCAAAATTTACCTTTGGTTTTGGTATTACCTGAACTTCCTCAACTACGTCCTCTTCACTAGTTTCGCTAACTTCGCTATCTGAGAATTGCACCGGACTAACTGAGAATAGCACCAAATCTTTATCACTTTCTGTCCCTTTGTCGCTCTTTTCTTCTTCGTCATTGCTGCTATTGCTCGCATCACTGTTATCACCTTCGGTTTCACTCTCGTCAGTATCACCACATGCTCGTGGACGCTTTTTCTTGGAAATAGTTGAACTTTGACCAGATTGTTTATTGCCACAACCTGGAGGTGAATTGTCTTCTGGCGCGCCAATATCGTCATCATCCGCGTGGTAGGCTCGAATTTATAGGTACCCTTGGTACAAGGAACGTGCCTGCATGTGTGTCAAATTTTGTAATCAGTTAGTAGGAATAACAAATTTGAGTTAGTCAAAATTAGGATTTTGCCCACAAAAAAAAAGGAAAAGTTTAAGAAATAGAGGATTTTTAGAAATATAACATTTATAACCACTTCAATCTTGTGCATATTAAATAGAATAACAAAGTATTAAAAAATGACGTACCTCAATCAATTGGTTTGTCATCGCCGAACAATCCAAGAATGAAACTCCTTCAGACATATTATTCATCGCTCTTTCTTCAATACGTTGAAAGCGATGAGCAAACGAACAATAATTCAAAAACTCCCTCCTCGGTTTCTCATTGACTCTTCGATTTGATCGTCTACAACTTCCACCAGCAGTTTTTTCTACTGTATTATTTTTCTTCACGAATTTCTTCGCCTTTTTCTTAGCAGCTGCAGAAGATTTCTTCGATTTATTTCGACTTGTTCAGCCCAATTTGTCACCAGCAAATCCTTCAGCTTCGATTTGACAAATAGCACTTCTATTGGAGCAAATGAAGCACGTATTTCTTCGGACTTTCTGATCTTCTTTGAAATCTGCTTGATTAAGTTCTGGTCCCTGGTCTATATCTTCAGAAAACATTGCCAAACACAATCTGCCGGGATACGCTGAAGAGGAGTCTTGAAAGTCCGTAATATACATTCCAGTAGTATATCTTCTGACGCTGACAGCCCTAGCTTTCTTAATTTCTTCATTCATTTTGAATGTTGACCGTGGTTTCTTTTCACTCAGCATTGCACGTCGCCGAATGATGTGGTAAATCATTTGGGTCAATCTCGGAAAACGTGATTTAAACAACAGCAATTTCTTCTTCTCCCCATCTTTCCTACCAAATTCTTTGAAGCCATCTTCCCTGCATTCATCAATGCTGGCCCAGGCAATGAGGCTGGATAAGCTTGGGGTAAAAAATTTATCCCACACAAACCCAGCTACCATTCCCACTGGGCCACCAGCAACCGAATTCGTAACAAAAATCATTAACAAGAAGCTGACATAATCAGCATTCTTGAACATTTCTTCGGCAACGCATAAATCGCCAATTTTTGACAAAGGTAATTGGCAAATTTTTTGAATTTCGCTTGCCATGGAGAAGTAAAAATCACTGTTCCCATTGATTGTTAAAAACTTCTATCGCGATTGAGAGTTGAAACCAAAAGCTGAAATTGATTTTTCAATAGTTTTTGGTCAACCTGAATGTCTTTGACGGTTGTTAGCAGATTTAACAAAATTCCACTTCCAGACGGATTTTCATTCATATACTTGATGACCGAAGCGCATGTGTTATTGAGATCAAAATTGCTGACTTAACTGCTGGTCACCATATTTTGAGTGCTCATAATTGAAAATAGATCTTACATTTCTTTGTCCCGGGGTATGGCAACAACAGGAACAGAGGTATAACCTCAGGTTGGAACAATTAATCTAGTTGGAGATGGAGTTTTAGGGACAGCAGTCACTATGCTCTTATTATGTACAATAGGTTTCAGAATTGCTGGTTGTTGTGGAGGAATTGAAAAATCGAATGAAGTCGGTTGAGCAAAATCAGATCCACTGTCACTTTTCGTTTCTGCATAATTAATTACAGCAGAACCGACATTGCGTCTACTGGCCCTGGTTTCTTGTTGAAAAATTGGTGAAGCAATTGCGGTTGGTGGTGGTAGGAGATTTTGTTCAACAACAACATCAAGAACTTTTTGCCCTTGATTAGTCAATTCTATATCTGAGCTGCTTGGAATACTGCCAGGTTGAGGACTGTCAAAATCAGAGTCACACAACCTTTGACTGCCATGTGTTCCTGAAATTGAATCCACAAAAGCTTGCAATTTTGGACCAGCTTCGTCATCTTCTGTAAAATTTAAAATATCAAAATGAGTATATTTCGGAACACAGAATTAGGAGAAAAAATCGTTTCATGAAACTCAGAATTAGAAGAAAAATTAAATTTATATAACCCAGAATTAGGAAGTAAATTATAATTTCATGCAAATTAGAATTGAGGAAAACTACTAACCTTTCGGAAATAAGTTAATTTGTTTCATCGCTTTGTCTGATTTGTAAGATATAACAGAAGCCAATTTTTGTTTCGCTGATACTGGTGGAGTTTTCATTTTTATGGTCTGCTGTTTTCTCAATTCTGTTTTCTCAAGCAATTTTTTTGAATCCTTGGTATCTTTTTCTGCCAATTTATTACCCTTCGCCAGCTTCTTATACTTCGGTTCTAATTTGTTAGCAGAGGACATCACCTCATCAAAAAACTTGCGCTTCAAAGATCGAGATTGACTGGTAGGAGCATCTTGGTCAAAAATGTTGATTGCAGATGGTAATTTTCTGTCAACAGCTTTTATTCCACTTTTCACTAGAAGCTTTTTGAATGTGTTAGTTGCTTGTTTCTCCGACTATTTAGATTTATTGCTCGGCGCCTCAGAATCACTCAAAACTTGAAGCATTAGTATTTTCTTACAATCTCCCATAAATTGCTTCGAATTTGTTGCTGAAAACAAAAAGGAAAGAAGAAAAATGAAATGTAATACAATCATTACTCATGGTTCACCAATAAAGGAGTAAAACTCATTATGTAATTAAATCTAAACAGATTTACTTATTATTTGAAATGTTCAGACACAAAATGGCATTCCATTTGTGACTACCATTTTTTGTTGATTATAATACATTTTTCAAGTTCACATTTTGTTCAATAATACAATCATCAAATCTACAGAAAATATTAGCACCAAACAGATTTCGAATTTGAGCCTTGCAAAAAATGAATATTTGTAATGTAAATACATGGATTTCTAAGAAGTTTTATGATAGATACACATAACAAGCAATGCATTTTATTTTTATTTGAAAGAGTCTTAATTTTTTCAAGAGCATATTGTTCAAATTTACAGTAAAATTATTATTTATTTTTGACAGGTTTCAAAATCATCTTAATTTTGGGCCATATATAACTCTCTCGAACAAAAATACATTTCATACATAAAAGAATCTTTTGGAATTCAAATTATACTTACGATTTCGAATGTTGAATTTTGTGCCACTCGATATTCTTTGAAATTGATCCTCGGAAACCAGTCCTTGGTGTGAAACTTTTCAATCGTAGTAAAAGTGTAGGCATCATCAGGAGGGAACAAAATGAAATTGCCACACTCTGATTGTCATATAGAAGAAATTGGAGTGGTGTAGAAAGTAGCAGCACTGCTACGTAAATTTTCTAGCTTTCCATTATATTCGGAAGGA